ATACCGGAGTGATTAGAATACGAGATGATCTTCGAAAAGAAACTGACTCCGAATATCAGGTATCCTATGAGACGAACTATCTGGGAACAAACGGAAGGATCATCCTGGAATTTTCTTTATTTACCTTCTAACAGGTGGACGTACGAGCATACGACATGGGCGAACCTCGATTGTCATCCGTGACAACAGTCCCGATTTTTGTTCGACACGTCGCCACCGTGCCGCCAGAGGTCGGCTTGGGCTTTGCAGAGAATTCGTACAACGTCGAAGTACCGGAAGATGCTGCCGACGGGACGTTGATAAAGATAATTACGATCATCAACAGTCACGCTCATGATTCGACGCCCTTGAAATGTGAGATTTACAGCGGAAATGAGAACGATTTGTTCGAGGCGAATGTCACCGAGGAACGCAATTGTGCTCTTAAATTGAAAAAGGCTGCTCTCGACTATGAGACAACCGAATTTTATCAGATCAAGATCAGGCTAGAGTCGTTGTCCGGTTTATTGAACTCTGGTCGCAACACAACCATGGTAAAAGATTTTTTTTATTTTAGTACAAAATCATATATATATATATATATATATATATATATATGATTTTTTCTTCGGTAACAGGTAAAGATTCAAGTCATAGACGTGAACGACAACAAGCCGGAATTTATCTTTCCCGAGGACGATTACAAACTGAGAAGGGCTCGTTACTTTGCTGCGATACCTCGGAATGCACAGTTCGGATCGAGTGTTATACAAGTAAAAGCACACGACAAGGACAACGGGAAATACGGAAAATTGGAGTATAAGATTCTCGAGGGACGTGGCTCTGATTATTTCGCGATGGATGCTTTCTCTGGAATAATACGAACTACCGCGACCTTTGACAACGTCGATCCTTCCGAGTTACCCTTTAAATTCGACGTGAACGTACGTGACAATCCAAACTCGACGATAAACTTCAACTCGATTGTTGCCCCGGTGATAGTTAATTTAATAGGCGAAGAAAATCTATTGATCCTGGTAGTTCAGGACGCGGCACCTGAGGTACTTCAGAAGGATGCCAGGAGAATAGCGAACATCATCGAGGAAAAGAGTGAACTCTTGGTCGGTATCGATAGGATCGCCGTTAGGAAGGTTCGCACGAAGAATGGAACGGTCGAAACTTATCCCCAAGACTCGGACGTTTGGTTTTACGCTATCGATCCCGATACTGAACTGATATTGGATCGCAATAGCTCTAGAATCCAGAGGTAATCCTTTATATATATATATATATCTTTTCTCGAGCGAAATTTAGAATCTCGTAGCGACGAAATGATTCCTAGATATTGAAAAATATCTTAAGAACGACATATATTGTTTTTGAACGTAATATCCTGCACGATCTCGTAACTCGCATTACTCTGAGAAGGATCGTAAAGTCATTCTCCGATAAGAGCAGTAATTTCTCAAGTCTACGTATAATTACGAACGGCAGGTACGCCGCCCGGTTTGTAAATTCCAGTAGACCTTGAATACTTATCGCTCGTGTCGGTACGCCAGACGCGATAGAAGCGTGCATTGCATTTATTTGCGCCGTTCTATTTTTTGCAGGTCGATCGTCGAAAGAACTGCGGTATCGAACATCACGTTTGACGTTTCGACGTTGGTACGCGCTAACGCAATCGACATACACGCACCAGTAATGTACGCGGAGCCCGTTCGCACGCAAACAGCTGTGGCGTTCAGCGGAGAAGTATTCCCATATGCTCTGATCATCATAGCCTGCGTCATCCTCATACTTGGAATCGCCGGAATAATCTACATCTGCGTATCTTGGTCCAGGTATTTTTCATTCTTTATTTTCTTCCTTTACTCGCGTCATTTTTTCTACATTTTTTTATTCGACCTCATAGTCGTTCGCTGCCACGTATAAACGATCAATCGAACGACTTGCATATGTGTTATTGTTATTCAATCGACCTACATTTTTTTGTTACCAAACAAACGAAAATGCGAATTTAGGAACTACATACTCGTAATGTATAACATTTTCATAAATGCGTTTGGTCGTTTCATTTCGTATGTAAACGAATTTTTTTCTCATTTCACTATCGATGTGAATATTCATGATGGTATTTTTTTTCTAAAGTACTATCCGACTAGGCGCATTTCTCGTACAAATTCGTTGTTCCCTTTATTAGAACCATTAAGTCTAATTAAAATTTCCGGAACGAATAGACGGGAATGGCGCGTTGCGTCGCGTTAAAACTCTTACATAAACGTATATATATATATATATATATATATATATATATATATATATATAGACAAATATAAAGGAATAAAATGAAATCATACAGGTATAAGGCATACAAGGAGCGAATGCAACGGATGTATGTTGTACCTCGTTACGATCCCGTCTACGTCGAGCCCAATTTGAAGGAATACGAGACGCAAGTGCTTCAAATGAGCGTGCCCGTAGATGACAATGACAGTTACAACGACTTGCAACTTGACTTCAGCAACAAGAATCATGCCTTCAGTTTGGACAACGTTAGTTATATTACCAAAGACCACGGTGGGAGTACTGGTAATAATCAATTTGATCGATTTATTTATTCGTTCGTAAATCAAATGAAAAGTATTAAAATATTATTTCGTGACTTGGTAAAGGTGGTTAAAGAAACACGGTCTATTGTAGAATGAGTATTTTAAATATGATCGACCGTAAAGAAAAAGGAAGAAATCATATCGGAAAAATATTACGTTAGATATTTTACCAATCTTTTTTTGCCGCATAGGTACAATGGTTACTCTTTCTTTCTTCTTTTTAAGGCCAACAAAGTCCTGTGAGTTCGGAAGCTGCGACCACGGCTCGAGCCTCTAGTATAGCCGGGAATCATGCGGAGGGTAACGTCCATTCACTTCGACGATCGACTCTTGGTCGTAAGAATCACACAACCAGCAACAGCAATACCATCAATAATCACGACACCACCACACCCGTTCTCAATCCTCTCTACAATCATGGCGGTGATCTACTCAGTGCGAGCCCTTCCAACGATAACGTTACGTTCCGAGAAAAGAAGGACTATTCTCATCTCGGATTTACTTACTTGTACGAGCAGAGCCCCGTGGAAACGACCACTGAATTGTAAGCTTGATCCGTTATCGAGTTCAACCGAAAAATTTCCATGTGAATTACGACTTTGCGATATGAAGAGGGAAGAATTTAACCGGGAATAGAATAGAATTCTCTCCCGGGGAATGTGCTTTGCTAAATTTCGAATGAAATACCAGGGACCTTTTCTTCCACTTTCCTGAGCGTGTTCCTTTGAAAAAGAGGCTCGCATTCGTAGCAGTCTTTCCGCAGCGAATTTATTAATAATGACCTCGCTGATATTTAAAAAAAAGTGCCAGAGATCTTTTTTCCTTTATTTTTTTTTCAAACGAACGCATCGAAGCGTTTTTATTAGCTAGAAGAAACGACGAGAATTCCTTCCGTATGGATTATCACCGCGCGGTGATCGATAGCGAACGACGTATCAAGAGTAAGAGAAACTCGCGAGGGATCGCGAGCCTATACTATATTTTTTTTTCTTTTTTTTTTTGAAGATACAAATCCTCTTTGACAATCTCAACGAGAGTACGGATGCCGTGAGAAATAATTTTCGTTGGAAATATCGGGATAGAGAGAGAAAAGAAATGAAGAAAAATATGGCAAATACGTAAAGATAGGAATATATGTATATTTTTTTTCTTCGTTCGATTAATCGATTTTTTACTCGTTCATCGATCAGTCGTGCAATTTTTTATGACAATCAATTAAAACAGTCCAAGGAGAGCCAACGGACTTTTATCCATCAAAGTTTTTATGCGTTTTACTTTTCTCTTTGAACGCAACAACGTACGGCTTTTAATCGCACGGATAACGAATAGTACTAAGGGTTTTTTTTTATCGAAAGTCTATGTGCCGTCCAATGAAAAGAAATATATAGGATGTAGCGTTTTTGCAGAAAAAGGAGTGAAAAAATTGTCTGAGTGTTCTTTTTTTTTTTTTTTTTTTTGTATTTGTTTTGTTTGTTTTTTCAGTGCGAGAGTGAGTTGTCAGAATGATCAAAGGAATGTATGAAAGGAAAAATACCGAATTTGTATTATATCATTTTATCATAATATTTATATTATTGCGTAAAGTTCTATTGCCTCCTTTCGAATAATTTTATTGTATTATATGTACGCGTGTCGTTGTTAACGTATACGTTAAAGAAAGCGCGGGAAAACCGAATAAGGAGAGATTCAAGCCAATCCATCGTTCCCTTTTAAAGTCCATTGAGTTTTTATCACGCGATCGTCTAGATCGTCGAACGTGTTGTGAAATCCATGTACTTAATGGGAGATAATTAGGATTAAGTATTAATGTCGTAACATTTGATTACCGCGGCACCGATGAACAATTCCGATCCTTTCATAATCTACATTTTCTCTAGTCTTAAGACGAGAATTTAATAACACGTCGACGCATGAACGTGCGCGCACGCACGCAAACACACACACACACACACACATACATGCGCACAGTTACACGCACTCTGAGATCGTACATTTTGCTCGACGGATACGTGATCGGTGTTCCGCCCGAGATGAAAAAATTTCTAACAGGTATCATTTCACTCGTGGTTGAATATTATTTATGAACGAGAAGAATAGCGACGATTGTATAAATTGTTAATACTTAAATAATAAATTTATTATATTTACATAAATAATTAAAAATACGATTACGAACTCTTTTACCCATGGAATATTTCTCGTTTTGGGGGAGAAAAAAAAAAAAGAAAAAAGATTTTCATTAAGATTTCGAATGGTTCGAGTTAATTATCTAGATCGAATTAAAAAGAAAAAAAAAATGTAAAACTTACAATAAGAATACCTAGATTAGACCGTAATAATACATAAGAGACTGACGAAGGACGAAGAGTAATATTGGTATAGAGGGAAAAAGAAATTAAGAGAGAATGGTTACGGGCGGGGATCGACTATGGGATGAGATAGAGCGTCGGCGCGGACGCAGCCGCATATCTGGACCATCGGCCGACGCAAACTCGAACATGAAAGAGAGACGTAGTAAGAGAGGGAAAGGAGAGGCCGAGCGTAAAACGGGACCCGTAGAATGCTGGAGTGATCCGCGACAGCTCTTTCGAGAAATACGAATTATGAGCAAGTCGTGGAAACCTTCTCGACGGCAGAGGTCGCCCGTTTAGTTTGGATCCTCCACCGGGCAAGGATCTTCTTCGTGGTAGGATCTCGGATCGCGTCGAAAGATCCTCGCTATTCTCTCTCGATTCTTTCCTCTCAATTTCAAGTGTATCAAGAAAAAGAGAAGATGGATGGATAGAACGGTGTTCCCTGATCGATCCTGGAAGCCTCCGGAGAAAGGCGGCTACCTCATTCGCTCTCTCTCTCTCTCTCTCTCTCTCTCTCTGTCTCTCGCTTTCTCGCTTTATTCCTTTTTCTCCTTCATTCCCTACTCGAGCTTCATTTCTAAAGAGCCCGCAGATATATCTAAAAACAACCCTCTGTGACGTACGTGATCTAGCGCGGTCTACGAACCACCTGTGAACTCCTCTCACTTTGGAATTAGCTAGTTGGAATACGTAACGAATATTTATGATAAATGATGGTTACCTGCTTTAATATTCTTTATAGTTTGTCATTTATTTTTTTTTTCTTTATTTTCGTGAAAGTGACTTTTCAACTCAACTTTGCTGTTCTCCTAAGGGGAAAATTGCTGAAGGAATAATTGGCGCTTCAAGGGAGATAACTTGTTGACCAAAGGTAAATCTAGCTCAATGACAAATAAACGATCGCTAGTGCGATAAGATTGATAAATTTTGACCATTAAATTTTGAGCATTAAATCATTACGATAAGAAGAAAATTTTTATTTAATTTGTTACCCAATTGTTTTATACAAGTTTGTAGAAATACAAGTAATAATTCGGGGATAAAATGTTTAGTAGATTGTTAATTTTCGAATATCATTACTTCTTAAATAATCATTATTTTATTTTTAAATTCTTTCAGTATTTAGATTATTTAAGCAATTTTAAAGTTATCTCGCTAGCCGCTTAGTAATCGTCTAGGATACGTAGGAAAATACGTAATGGCAATGTGTTGACATAATACTCTTGCTTCGGTCGTGCAACTTCAAAGAGCCACGTGACGGTCTCTTGCATACTCGTAAACCCCTGTTGGTTGGCGACTAATGAATTTCGCGCTGTCCTTTGATCTCAACCAATGCGACTTCCAATATACATATACATATATACACACACACACACACATATATATATATATATAAATTTATATATATATGTGGATATAACAATTACTTTTCCATGTTAAAATATTTCTTATACGAGTTTCGACAACACGTTCGAAGAAATTACGTGCGGACGAGTTAACGGCGTTTTTAGGAGGAACGAACGCACTTTAAAAGTAACTTTCAAAGAACTCGTTTTGTACATCCCTCGGTGTAATTGCATCTGTCAAATGAAACGTAAAACGTGTGCTCGATCGATCGTGTTTAGTTTCGTTTACGTGAAAAGGAATTTGTACTTTTTTTTATTTATTTATATGTTCGCAGATTGATGACTGCTTGGACATTTTTGCAAAGACTTCGGAATGAAATACTTAAAAGTGGCAGTGTTCACGTTCAACCTGTTAATATGGGTAAAAATAGTCAATTATTTCCTTTCTCGTATATTTATTAAAAATCCTAGAACTTATTAGCACGTTGAAAAGTCAACGTAGCTAGCTTTTCATTGTACCATCGGTTCGTGATTAAACGATAGAAAATAAATCGTTATTGTATTCACAATAGTCCGTGCAAGTATTATTTCAGTCATGTCTACTCCATTAAGGAAAAAAAAAAAAAAAGAAAAAAGAGAAAAAAGACGTCTCGCAAGCGGCCAAACGAATCGTATCGATTCTCCTCTCTTCTAGCACTTAATTTGAATCAATGAACAAGAGAGCACGAATACGTTCGATAGTCGGAGTGTAAGTGCATGCCATACATCGATCAAGCGCAAGAACGAGAAAAAAAGGAGAGGGAAAAAAAATGGAAAAATATATAGAAAAATCGTCCCTCCCCCTGCTTCTCCGTTAAAAAATTATTATTGTTCGTGCCTCTCATTCCACTTTGAAGCCGGATAAAAAAAAATATATTTCCGACAGTTGGCCGGTTGCACGGTGCTAGTTATAGGAGCATGGTTACTATTGGAGCCAAGCAAAGGACACCTTCTGAATCTTTTTCTACCCGACGTCAAACCCCACGAGACGATTGATTTGATAGCGTACAGCTTGGTAGGCCTCGGCTTCACCGTCTTTATGGTGGGTTTCTTTGGTTGTCGTGCTGCTCTGCGTGGAAATCAGTGCATTCTCGCAACGGTAAGGACGCTTACACGTATAATGTCCTACATTTACATGAAAAACATTTAAATATCTTTAATAAGAAAAAATAGTTTCTCGAGGTCATTTCTATCCAACGATAAAGGTTCAGGTGTTCATAATTAGTTTACCTTGTGTATAATGCTGCTGCAGAGAGCTATTCTTATGGTTATAATACATATTACAGAGATACCGCGAAGGTGTCAAGGTCAATATTCTATTCTCGTCGTGATTGTTTTGACGACTTTTTTTTTTTTTCTTCTCATTTTTATTTAGTACATGAGCATGCTGGTCGCCCTGATCGTAACAGAACTTGTCACAGCAGCAATTGGTGGGCTCATGACTTTTCGGATTCTTTCCGATTTGGAAGAAAGATTGTCCGACAAATTGACCACGGATTACGGCCACGACACCACCAGCGATATATCATTTAGCCATAGTCTTGATTTCGCTCAGTACAAGGTACGTCAATAATTGAATTTCTCGGAAATCGAATTAATTTTCTTCATGAATCAAATAGCAGTAAGAAACACAAGAGAGAAGTGCTAGTCACGTAACATGTGGCTAAATGTGATGGGATAAATCGATACACCTACCGTCAGACTCAATGTTAACACGATATTAATTCTCTTCTACGATTTAAAGTCGTACGGATTAGAAATTTATTCATTTTCTGAAAATAGTAATGCGTAAGAAAATATTGTACGATATTATTGTCATTGTTAAAATTTCATTGGAAACATGTTTCGTACAAAATGTTAAATTTCGATTTCACGTACGAACAAGCTTTTAAAGCATTGTTCCGCAAGACATGTCGCGATATTTTGAAGAGCTCGTACTCACGTACGTGTATATGCATAATCACAAATTAATCTATTGTAGTTTAATTGCTGCGGAGTGCACAGCGACGCGGATTACAATGGTACAGCATGGTGGAGGGATGGTCAAATTTCAGGAAGCAGGCGACAGGTTCCGATCACGTGCTGCGTTCTCAAAAATACCGAGGTATTTTTATCTTTGATTAATGTCTAAATAAACGATCGATAAAATATTAAAACGTAGGATCACGCTAATGAAACCTTTTTTTTCTATAGTGGAAATTAAATCGTTATAGCGGTGACATTAAAAGTCTCATAGGAAGATCTAGCTCGATATCTCCTACGTGCTCGATATCGCAGCACGTAGCTATAAAACGAAAATGTTTTTTGTTTTCCGTTAAAAGAAAAAGAAAAAAAAAAAAAACGGAAGAACTTTTTCTCAAGTTCTTACGACTTTTTCTTATTACTGAAGATATGTTGCCATTAAAGTTCGCGATTCATAAAAAGAAGCCGAAACAGTAAATAGTACAGCGATAGTAAAGAGAAGAAAAATGTGTTTACGTTGATCGACCGATCGCATAGTAAATTCGTAAAAAATTTATATATACAGATGTAGAACGTACGTGGTGAAAAAAATGTGTCAATGAATCAATACGAATATCTTCGAAATTATGAACTCGCAGAGACTTGGAATAAAAAGTATCTTAACGAATAGATATTTTTCTATCAGCTCGTTACATCATTTCGGTCGTTAGGGATTTTTTTCTTGTGAAAAATTTTTTATAAATAAATATTAATAGAGTCTATCTCGATATACGATAGTTCCCAATTTTTCTTTTTTTTCTTTCCTTGTAGAATCTTTTCTTACTAGGATAGGTGAATCCTCCTATGTGCTATTAATGGTTACCGATGTACACGTAAAATTCTATTCATAATTATCGACATTTAAATAACGTTAATTATAGGTAAAGAATACAGGTAGTCCAATGAGCGTTGTCTCGAGAGTATTTCACAAAAACGTGAGTAGTTTAATTAGGAGTGCGTTATAGAGACACGAGAAGCACGGTTTCATTGATCATCATTGATTATGACGGTAGAACGAGAAACCATGGCTTCATCCACAGCCGAAGGACGAAGCCGCGTGTCAAGTGGAAGACCAAGAGGGTCACGAGGGTTATCGACACAAGGAGGTGGGTGTTCTTGTTCTCTTGCCTTCTATCTAATGAAAGCTCTAAAAGTATTGGTACTTGAAATATCTAATCGACGAACTTCCATTAGGGTTGTCTCGGAAAAGTTAGCAATTGGCTTCAGAGCGAGAGCTTCACGTTAGTTTTCTTGGGCATGGCAATGGCTGGCATTCAGGTAATTAATTTATAATAACTTTTTTACTCTATGAAAATTTAATTGGATTTATTGTCAGAACAACGACGACAACAACAATAACAATAATAATAATGATGATGATGATGATGATGATGATGATAATAATAATAATTTTATTTATCGGAGGTTCGAAGGAAAAATAATCAATTTCTAAAACATCTAACTTTTAGACCTTCGGCATAATCACGTCTGCGTTTCTTTGTCGAACTATCCGAGATATGCAAACGGATTAATCCACGTCCTCGAAAGGAGACAAGAGTTTCTTTAACCCTTAGAGATATCGAAGATATTTTGAATGGAAGAAAAGAGGAGAAAAAGGAAGAACGAAGCGTTTCTCAACTTATTTCTTTGCTATTCAAACGCAATAGAAAGGAAGAAGAGGAACCGGACTCTCCGGTGGGACAACTTCTGTAGCGATCTGCCTTTATGAAATTCGAGATTGTGAAGCACGAAGAGTAATGACGCGAAAAGAAAATTTATTCGATCGACGTTGCTCCGAGTCATTCCCGTCCCTTATCGTATATTTATCATACAAGATGAACCAATTTCTCTGGAACCAATCGAGAAAAAGTACAGTGTGTTAAACCCATTGTAAATACATATAAACACGTGTAACTCCTAGATGTGTCCATCTTAAAGAACTCAAGGGGAAGAGGTTGAGAGAATATCGAGATTAATTTTTCGGGAAGAAATGTCACAAGTGAACGCCACGAACGTTGCCAAAAAAGCGTGAATTCTTACTCGCATAATAATTTGTAAATATGCGATATGCCACGAGAATCCATAACGACTAATACAGCGTGCGACAAATTTATCATTATTTTTCTTTCATTATACTCTCTTTTATACTATTTTCTACAAATTCCGATGGAATCGTTTATAATACGCATAAGGGTGAGTTAGCTAATACTTTTCTTTTTCCCTGTAACTTTCAGATACATTTCATATTTTTCACTATACTATTATCCAAAAATAATTTTTTCCTTTGAAAGTAAGAACAAAATTTGAGATGCAAGATTAGCTGACCCATCACTCATATATATACATATATGTATGTATATATATATATATATATATATATATATATATATACACTTTTATTTAAAACTCGACTTTGCAGCGATAAGTGAGTATACATTAACAATATCCGTATATACATATACTAGAAAAATATCTTTGGTAGCTCGTCGCATCGTTTATTTCAGTTTTCGTGTCAAATCAAAGAATCTTTTCGTATGTATGTATTTCCCGTTCGAAAGTATAAGCTGTATGTTTCTCTGAACGTATGTCACATTCATAGAAATGTTATTGTACGTCGTAAGAGAGTAATAAAATGTTTTATTAGGCATGACAATACCAGAGCCCATTTATCTTTCGAGAACGTAGCGCGCAAAGTACTCTTGTATATTTCATTTCGTTTTTATTTTCTACATTGTATATTTAGTAAAAAATATTTATGTATATAGTATATATGACATTATAAATGTAAACGATAATACTTTATCCCTTATTAACTCTCATAGGAATTTGCATTTCGAGCAAAATTGCTCGCATTAATCGAGGAAGACAGTCTGAAAGGAATTAAAACGTAAAAGGTCATCTAGGTTGGTACGTATAATTAAAAGTAATATCTTACTAAAAAAAAAATCTCTGAAGGCTACGCGTAATGATAAACGTCACGTTCATTCAAGTATTGAACCGGTCTGCAATTCGTTAGAAGCAATCCATCGCTCGAACAGATTTCTCTAAATTGTGCGACCTACGGGACTAACTCGTTATTTTCTCTTTCTCATTTTTTAATTACGAAGAAAGTCTCTCATCTACCTGATTCGAGGAAATTGCTACTGGAAGAGGATCGATAAGCCAAGTGACAATTTCGCTGCAGGGTGGCTGAGTCAAGGAACCGTGATAGGCGTAGTAATTCCTTCCTTCCGTATAATGTAGCCATGAGAGAGGAAAAGGTGGTATATACACTTTGCTACCGGGTTGCGTAATGTATCTCAAATTTGTTACTATGCAATCCAAATAAGGATTGTCAACAGGCATTATCTGAAAACGTCCGCTTTAATTCGTTGGCTGCTTCGTTTATTATCTTCCTTGGTAATGGATAAAATAATGGTAAATATATGGATAAAAATAATGAGGGAGAGGGAGAGAATAGTCGTACGTTAAAGAATGAGGACACGATCACTACTCCGTCCTTTGCGCCTAATAAAACCGCCTGGAGAGGTGAAAAGAAGCCACGTTTAACGTGAATGAATTGCAATTCCATGGCATATCGGACGTGGTTGATTGTATGCTCGCTTCCTTCGTTATCCGATGGACCCCAATGAAACATCATCGAATGAAAATTGTATGTATCCGTTAAAGGACCTCCTTTGATGAAGGGATGTACACGGCCACACCAAGTACCACAGACTATAACTATTATAAACGCGTTAAGTTTTACCTTAAGGTATATTACCTTGTTTCGCGATTCGTTAGAATATAAAATCGGATATTTATAAACTTGTACCAGAATTTCCATCGTTTGCCATGATCATTGAGCAGGGTACTGTATTGTGACCGATCCATTCTATATTATCGTATTCCCCGATCGCAATGGTCCTGGTGATATTGATCGGTGATTGATTGTAACCAGTACTCTCTGGATAAAACATCTTCCAGGTATGAGGTCCATTGTGAGCTGCATATCCAAATGAAAAGATCGGCGATTGACATTCTTCTTCGATGATAGAGTTTCGTGAAAAGATGTGGGACCACTTCAACAATTCGCTGGACAGCAACGCTTTGTCGTTCACAAAGTGTAGATGAAATTTATAATCGTTTAGTAATTGAATATTGATTCACGCTCACATACCTAGGAATAAAAAGCTACCAGATACGATCATCAATTCGGGCCACGAAAAGCCCAACATATTTTTTTATTAGAATATTAATCATCTGACGATTTTATTCATAACACATGGTTCGTGACATCGATTCCATTTTTAAACGATACGTGAACGTTGTTTCAAGTTGGAACACTCGGCAAATCGATAAGTAGATATCGATCTCTTCCATTGTTCTCCCGTTAAACGATCGACGTTGAGAAAAGAATTCAAAATCCTTAAGTACGATGAATTAAAATTCTGCGAAGAATGTCCACTCGATAAAGAAGCGAAATAGATTTTAGAAAAGTGAGAAGGATGCAGTGCGCTGGTAAGATTCAAATTCGATCCTATGGAATAAAAAGTATATCCTAATCTGGTGTGATCCTTCAAAGGTGACAGCCCTAAATGGGGTCAATCTCCCGTGGATATAGACGACAATCATGTTCTTAGAGTAGAATATCCTCCGCTTACTATGAGTGGCCATTGGAGTCAGGATGGTTATGCGAATATAAGGAACACTGGATCTACCGGTAAATTATATAAAAACGTGGGACGATCTTATCGAAATTATCTACGTGCAAAATTATCTACCTGCATAATTATTGATCTTTTCTACAGTCGGAATAACTCTGGAGGGTAATAGAAGTCCAGCTAGTATACGTGGTGGTCCGCTGACAGACGACGTATACGAATTCTCGGAAGTTGTCTTTCGTTGGGGCTCATCGAATTGTAAAGGAGCCGAACATACTCTCAATGGAACGTGGTTTACAATGGAAGCTCAAATTATACACTTTAATCTTCGATACGAAGAAATTGAAAAGTGCTGGGATAAGAGAGACGGTCTCGCGATTTGCTCCTATTTTCTTCAGGTCTATCAACTTCCCGCTTGGGACGAGCATCCATTGTTCTCGAAGATCACCGATAATTTGTATAAGATCACCGAACCGGAGTCCACCGCAAAAATATCATCTAGTACATATCGTGTTTTTTCATTGGAATAAAATACTTTTCTTTCTTTTTTTTTCCTTCAGTAACTCCTAGAACTCTAGTCGAAACATCTTTATAGATTGCTTGAGTTGGATGAGACAAGCCTGTCAAACACCAGGCTATTATAGCTACACCGGTTCCATTACCACTTGGCCCTATCACGAGTGCGTGACTTGGATCATTTTTCCAGAACCCGTACGAATCTCGGAAAATCAAGCGCAATGTTTCAGAATGTTAAGAAACAAACAAGGAACATTTATTAAAGAGAATTATCGTGAGGTTCAGAAGCTCAATTCCCGAATAATTTATTATATTTGTTGAAGCTACGTTTCTATTTCTATAAAGATTGTATATCGGTCCATTATTCATATTTCATTATACTACACATATATATTTGTTTAGTATGATTTAATAAAACACATCAATGACAATATACGTCAATATGTGTTCGTTAACAACTTCACAATGGAACTACACTACACACGACATGATTCAAACAATTACAAAATCGATAAACTAACGAAATTACAAAATGTTTTCAAAATTCAATAACAATTTTGTTTCACGAATTTATTCAATTATCTTTTGATTTAATTTCGAACACTGCAATAGGAAAAAAAACCACATAAAAACAATGCGTTTACTACGAAAATTCAAAGACGGACGAAGAGGTTTTGTAGATAATCGTAATTATTTTCTTTTTTTTTTTGCTGACGCGTACGTTCGCTTCTTCTTAGATCACGATCTACGCACGGTAATATCAACGTCATCGAGCGGTTTACCAAAGTGGCGACAATCGCCCATTGATTTGAAGACGACCGATACGTGGACTCAAAAGTTTCCACCTTTGTTATTAACCGGTTATTGGTTAAAAAAGGGAAAAGCGACGATAACGAACACAGGAAAAACAGGTTTCCATAATTTTTATTCAATGAATAACAAGCCTTTAAATCCTTCACGATATTTTATAGTTAACATCGAACTGATGGATTTGTCAACCAATCCTTATTTACGAGGTGGTCCACTGAACGAAGATGAGTTTAAATTGAAAAATGTACAATTTCGTTGGGGTCCAAGCGACTCTCGAGGTGCCGAACATTCTATAGACGGTATATGGTAAGCACCGACATTTACCAATATATATTCTGATTATTAGATAATTCAAAAAACACCTAAACAGTCTAATCTCAATCTAACCAGGAGATGGTCTCTTTTGAACCTTAATTTGCTTGATTAACACAAAACGATACTATAGAAACAAACAAATGTATTGTACATATATTCCGTACCGATTGATTTATATGTCTTTGATGAATTGAATAGAATTCTTGATGCCATTGATTGTATATTTTGTCAATAATATATAATTATTTAAACATATAATTTTAGGTATTCTATGGAGGCACAAGCTTTGCATTGGAACACTCGATATGGATCGTTGGAAAAGTGTTACGACAAATCTGACGGTATTGCAATACTTTCTTATTTGATGCAGGTAAAATAATTACTCATTTTTTGTCATCACGCACGTAATCGATTAAACATTTTTTTTTTTTTTTTTTTTTTTTTTTTTTTTTTTTTTTTTTTTTTTTTTTTTTTATAACAAAGGTCGTTGGCTGTAAAGGAATGCCAGATAATCCAACAGTCGCTCGTGTTACCGATCACTTAGCAAACATTAAAAAAACGGGTAGCAGTATAACCGTTACACCTGGTATATAAAAACGAATAATGTTGTAAATCAACAAGTATGTCTTTGAACTATTTCATTTCATTTTTGATCATTATCGCAGACTGTTTGTGGTGGATACTGCAGGCGTGTGCGGCTCCAGGCTATTTTACGTATCACGGCTCTCTTACCGTGCCACCGTATAACGAATGTGTAATTTGGATAATAATTTCGCACGCGATAAAAATTTCTTCTCGTCAAGTACGTTTTCAAATGAGGATCACAGATAATTTTTATGCATATATATATATATATATATATTTCATTTTTTTTATCCTCCTACATAGATGAATGTATTTAGAAATATTTATGACTACAAGTGGGATCCTATAGTGAGTAATTACAGACCGCAACAGTTATGCTGTCGTAGACGAATTTTATATGCCACTGATTGCAGCATAGTTTGACGATTAATAAAAATTAATTGAAGTGATAACAGAGCCTCTGAATTTCTTTAAGATCGATCGTTTCGTTGTTTCGATACGAATCATGGACGTCGTCAATTAATCAAATGACGTGATTCGTCATTAAAAATTTCAATATCAGTGTATCATTAAAGACAAAATTTTCGATTGGTTTTAATTTCTATTTAATTTACAGTATGGCACTTTTACCAGAATATTACAAGGGTTTGATCGGTAGGTAAAGAATAAATTAGCAGACTATAAAATAAAAGGTTATATCCATTGATATTACATATTGCGTCTATGTCAAAATTTTAATTTGTTTGAATAAAATTGTATTATAAAGGTTTGCCAAAACGTGGACAATCTCCGATCGACTTGGACGACAAAATAGTCCGTCCGAAACGATATCCGCCTCTTATGTTAAATGGTCATTGGATGAACGACGGAGAAGCCATTTTAGGAAACGATGGAAACGTCGGTAAGAAGAAAATACAAATGGATGTTAATAAAATAAGCATGCTTATTTAAATATCGATCGGCAAAAGTTTTGGTTCGTTACAGCGACCGTAATTCTTGGTGGAAATAGAATACAATCCACAGTTTCAGGCGGTCCGCTATTAAACGACGTCTATGAATATTTTATTTGTAACTTTCGTTGGGGCGAGGAGAATTGTAATGGCTCGGAACACACTATAAACGGCACTTGGTCAGAGTTTACTCATGAATAATGTTTGTAATTCCTACAACACTTTTTTTATCATAGACATATATCAAACTTGTAGGTTTTCTATGGAAGCTCAGATGGTACATTGGAATCGAAAGTACCCTTCGTTCGATGACTGTTTAAAACACAAAGATGGCATTTGCATATTATCCTTTTTATTTTTAGTACGTTATGTATCTCATGTTATTTGAATATATATATATATATACTTGAAACATATCTCTAACATAAAAAAAATTTCGTTTCAGGTCCCATCGGGAGAGTGCATCGAGACTAATCCACAATTAGAGAAAATTACTGAAAATTTGAAATACGTCGTAGACGCAGGAACGGAGAAAAATATTCCAGCGAGTATGTTTTATTGCAAAATAAAAGAAATTTTCTATTCGTCGATTGTAAAATCCATCTCATGTATTTAATTAAGATTCCTTATGCTGGATACGATGGGCGGTTCGTTGCGAACGTTATTACAGTTACCAAGGATCGTACAACGAAGGTTCATGCGGTATTCTTGGGTATCCCGAATGCGCTACTTGGATTATTTTTCCATTGATGATTACGATAAGTCCTTCCCAAGTAAGCATCATTTCTTTAAAGGAAGATAATAGAATTTGATTAAGCAAATTGAAATGAATCTTAGATCGATGCTTTTCGAATGCTGAAGGATGAAAAAGGTAATCCTATAAAAAATAACTGCAGGAAAATTCAATTGTTGCGCGGAAGAAGAATATTCTTGGGTATATCTTAATCTTTGAAGCAAGGTACTCAATCGAACGAATTATAAAAAGAAAACTATATCGAATTCCGTTAAAATTTTTATTCCGATTATATCACATTTATATAAAATGTACTTTTTATCTCGACAGATAGAACGAAGTGTCTACTCCATCCAATCTGTTGTAAGAATTGATTATCGCTGAAATACGATCTATTATCTCGCCTAATATATCATAAATACGAACGAAAAATATCTCTTTGTAAAGTTGACCGCCAATATGACTCTGAGCCAAGCTCACATTGCTTTCGAATGTCTGTGCATTCATAAATTTATTGCTTTGATTCTTTTTACGATCCTCGTTAATATCACTCAGAGGTAATCGTAACAACGTGGAGACGTTCAAGTTCGATGGTTTGTTCTCTTTGATCAAAATACAATTGGCCAAAATAAATTCACTCTCGATCTCGAAACAATTTGCAAAAGAACACAACGCATTATAAACAGCCATATATTTCTTATCATTTACGAAAGTAGAAATAAACGGAGGCTTCAAGCATTCCTTGTAGAGATTATTGAATCGTAAAAGCATTTGCTGTCGCCGTTCTGATCTCTTTATAAGTAGAAGGATCTCTCGAAGATCATTCAGAGATAAATTCCAAGGTACGGCTGGTCGATCGGTCACCTCGTGATAAAGTTTGCGTAACTCCAATATAATATTCGTGTGATAAAAGTGATAAGGATTTTTAGCTCTGAAGACGTCGCTTTCAATAAACAAGCTACTGTAAGCAGGTTCGGATGGTTTTCTATAATCAATATTAGCCATTATCGTCTCGATGATTTCTCGAATTATCGAGTCTTTGATGCAACGATTTAAATACAAGTCGATCTTCGATATGGCAAAACAATTTGATCTCTTATAGTCTCTCTCTTCGGCACAACCCCAGAATCGAAAGATCAACGGAGAATTGCATATTTTTGGGTCTGTAAAGAGTCTCCAGGATTCGGTGAAGACGTTGGACGATCGTGGCAAATACCAGATCTTCAATTCCTTGATTGTTCCTTGTAAAATTATGCCATCGTTTTTGTTGAAGTGAAATGGGCTATCGTGTTTTTGAAAGAATTGAAAATTTGATTGAAAAGATGAGTCTCTCCAGCGATAATGGATCACGATGTTACCCTTGTTTTCAAAAATGATCTTCTGCTCGGATCTTTCATCGATCCTTCCACGAAATATTAAATCCCATTCTATGGGTTTCTCGTTGGATTCGTTCGAATTTTGAGCAATCTCTCGATCCTGAATCTTTAAAATTATCGCCAAATCCAGATCATCGGATTTTTCCTCTTCCGGTGCGGTAATCGTTATAACGGGTATTATTGGCTTTCTCTTTGGCTCGACAAAAGTTTTACCCCGAATTAAAAGCTCCTTCGTTTCTGGTTTCTTAGGCATCAATAGCTTTATCTCTTTGTGTAGTTCTTTTTCTCGTCGTTTAAAATACAAATTTCGTTCCCACGTTCTCTCATTCAACGAGATACCACGTAAACCTTTTTCTTCCTCGATCAGTTCTGGTACATCGACGTACGTCAAGTCCGGTGGAAGGTTTAAATCCCTTTTGGTCGGTACCATTGTTATCTCGGGCAAGCAAATGTCATCATCGCCATGTTTGGCCAAGAATTTCGGAACATTCCAAAATTCTGGACCACCGCGATATTTATCAGGTATTACAGGAACAGGTATCGAGGCATACTCCATCAAGTTTTTCAATTCTATCAGGGAACGTACTTTCTCGCAAGAGTTTATAATCTGATCGATTTTCGGACGACCCGTTATAGATTTTATACGACGACTGATCTTTTCTCTCTCGACCAACCATTTTTTCCAATTTTTTAAACGTCGATCTTCTATATCCTTTGGGTCGTCTTTTATCAGATTATAATCAAACGCAGTTACCATTGTAATATTGGTCTTCGTCCAGACGTGAGGTTCCTTCCTTTTTCCTATTTTCCTTGCATAATCCATTTCTATATTTTATATTAGACTTAATCTTTAAACGAACCCCTCCACGTGTTTCTCATTAAAATCTTTTAGGAAGGTTAATTGTTTCGAATTTAATTAAAAATTAACCTAGCATGGTAGTTCATGTATTTCGCATATTTACGATCGATACTTAGACACAATCGAACTTATCGAAAACTACTATCGAGAGCGTAATATAACTAAATAAATGAATAATAATTATTCGCGATAGCAATGGAAGGTATAAATTTATTTAATTAATAATGAATAAATTCCGATTAAATATTCCGATTATTAAGCTGATAGATTTGCGTGTTTAGAGAATGTCGACGACGTCAATGTAGAAAATGCAAAATTCATTCAAGGACTCGGCATTATAGAAGGAGAACTGCCATCTCCTATCGATTTGGATATCAGTAAAATGACACCGATTAATTTGACGCTATTGCAATGGATTTATTATGACGTTGCACCGCGAAAATTAAAGATCACCAACACAGGACAAACTGGTAACAAGTTCCTCGTATTTCAAGTCATTATTAATAATTAATATGTTCGCAATGAAAAATAACGACCCGAGTAACGCGAATGCAACGCAAGCTCAATTTTCATAGCTGTTCTTGGTGCAAAGTGGCTAATGGAAAAGCCATATATCACTGGTGGTCCTCTTAATGGAAATTACGTTTTTTCACAAATGCATTTTCATTGGGGCGAAACGGAAATGTATGGTAGCGAGCATCGCGCCGATGGTGCAAAGTGTGCGAATTTTCTTCGTAGCTCTCTCTCTCTCTCTTTCTCTTTATTACTGATCTCATTGAAATAATCTTAACTTTAAAGTACGCCGATGGAACTTCACGTAGTACACTTTAAAACGCAATACTTAAATTTCGAGGAAGCTCTTCGACAAGTCGACGGCGTTATAATAATAGTTTACTTCTTAAAGGTAATATTGAATTTCAATGTTGAATAAAATGGTCGAAAGACCATTTTCACGTTACTTCAATTACATTTTACATACAGTTGCAGACATTTTCTAATATATTTTTAAAGAAGATAGTAAGCGCTTTGCCTTCCATTAAAATCGCTAATTCCAGCATTCGTTTAGTACCGATCGTACTGACGAATATTTTTAAACCATTTACCGAAGATTATTTTGTATATTGGGGTTCGACGATAACGCCACAATGGACGCGCCGTATAATGTGGCTCGTGTGCAGAGAACCTGTTGGAATAGCCAAAGAACAGGTACTGCAACGAATCTTACGAATTGTTTAAAAAGTAAATACTTTGTTATTGATTTAATCGACGCAAAATATGCACGTGTGACGTATTTCCTTGGAAAATAGTAAAAGGGGAAGGAATTATTACAGATAGACGAATTTCGAATTTTATACGACGAGAATACTAAACCGATTCTTGGAAATTGCCGAGCAATTCAGAATAGAGAAAACAGACATATTTTTCACGTTCGTCCATCGGGCTCGTTACACGCTACCCTTTTACCAATATCAAGAGAACAGCTCGTTTTATCCAGCCAATCCAATGCTTTTTTATCGCCTTAAGGAAAAACTAAAACTAATAAATAAATTAAAACTAATAAATATCGGATGAAATATTAACGAGGATTAAACGATTTATCTTCTACGTCTACGACGTCTTTTGATTCTTTCTTTGCGAAGATCGCAATTAGGATAGAGCAAAGTGCAATTAGCTCCGCCCAAGCCAAGAACCGAAGCCTTAACAGATTCCAGCATTGCCGACCAAGGTGCAGCTTTAGAAACTCTTCCTGTGATCCAGCTCATCCCTAAGCTGAAAAGGAAGCTGCCTTTATTATCGTATAAAGGAATAGATGTGAATAGATGTGAACGTCTCGGTAACGTTAGATCTCTAGATAATCGACAGTAGGAACAACGGATCCCGAAAAATAAGAATTCATTATGAAATAATAGTTAATTAATTTTGTAGAATAGCATACCTCCAAACGGGTACCCAAATTTTACGACCATCGTTAGTACTCTTTGAATATTGATTGTCCTCGCAGAGAATTCTCCGTAGACAATTGGCAGAATCCATATCAGCAATCAGAGCCGCTTCGACCGATCTCAAAACGCGATAAGACAATTCATTCAATTCTTGATTAGTGGCGTAAGTCATTGGGAAGCCACCGACGTGTCTCTTGAAACGCGTCCCATCCGACGCGTCCGTCAGGGTACTAGAGGTAGTGACGTTTGTCATATTTTGCTGCGCATAACGATCGTATTCCTCTATATCATCGTCGGCATAAACTCTTATATATTTTTTATAAATTAAATCGTATCAATACCGTGGCATTCATCAATAGCTGTATGACGAATAGACCGAACGCCAAGAAGGCTAATGCGGTGAGAGCAATTTCAAAGAAATCTTTCAACGAAAGATCGTGTCCCTTTCCTTTGCTATGATAGACAGGCTTGTGATGTTCCTCCTCGTGCTCCTGTTGTTCCTGATGATACGGGACGTGATAATAATGTTCCTCCTGAATCGCAGGGAAAAATTCTCCAGGATGACCGAAATGTTCACCGTGACCGTATCCGTAATGATGATAATTGTGTCCCGAAGCGGCAGGCATATGATCTGTCACGATATTCACGTTAAATCATAATCTTTAATCATTAGACAGACTGATTATTATCATTAAACCAATTCTCACCTTCGTTCGAATTTGGAGGCTCATAAACTTCAATTTTTCCGGAAGGTAAGGGTGCTTGCATGGCAAAACCGGTGACCTCGCCGTCGAATTCTTCGATGTCGTGATCGTATTTGACTCCTTGTTTCTTCTTCAACATTCTTCGCGGCGAATAATGACGATATATGTCGTCCAAAGTAGTCGTCCTATAGAATAGAGACTTATCAGCGTTTAATAGAAGTCAGACAGGTCGTTTGGTACGTTCGATAGAAAAGATACGTCACTTTTGTAGCCAATTTTTATACTTGGAGCTACCCTCGTCCCACAACATTTTCTCGTGAATGGTCACGTTGTCGTTGCCCAAGAAATCCGGCATAATGGGTTTGGAAGATGCCGAATTGGGTTTCCGTTTAACCCTAGGAATGCTTACCTCTTTGACGATTTCCTCTGCCATGTATCCGTGACAAAGATACTCGTTCATTCGTTTTCTTACCGATGAAAGAGTTAATTTCATTATCAAATCATTGACTTTATTCATTTCCTCTGTGACTTTTCGAATTTTCCTGAATTTCCCTGTTTACCTGTGATAATCCATTTCGTTCAAAGCCTTGTCGAAGGTGCCGTCTACCGTTTCCTTCTCTACTTTCGAATTACTTTTATTCTGATATGAATCGGCAAACAAAAAGGATCCCGGCAATAGATCGACCGATAATATGTCGTCTTGATCGATGCAAAATTCATTTCCATCGTCGAAACATTCCTCCGCATGCGCGTAATGGACCATTAAGAGCAGATAAAGTAATAGGAACATCGTTAAAAGAAATTATTCGAAAGGAGTAAAATATTTAAACGACTGAGATCGAGGAAAGCACCGAAGAAACTGGACAGTAGATGTGGTCTCTCTCTCCGACGGAATAATTATCTACCAGAAATAATTGCTTTGACCGTAACGACGGTCGTTACTAGGAGCGTCTCTCCGTATCAGGAGAACTCGCGCGTTCGAAGAGGACAAAAAGAAAATGATACGAATTTTATTTTTCGTATGTCCCTTGGGCAGCCCTAACAAAGAGGAAAGAGCTATATTAGATTTAACGATTAATTCCCTATGGTTCCAACTACGCTACCAGCCGATTTACGAGTAATCCGACACCTATGATTAAATACCTTTATTAAAAACCACTTACGTAGGTCTTATGAATGTTTTAGGAGTAGAGAGTTTGTCGAGGTAAGCGGGACGGGATGGTAAGACGAGGTAATGGGGGCTTTGTTCCCTTGGGAACTCGCTCACCTGTCTAATATCTCGCGAGAGTGGCTATATCTGTGTACACCCTACCTATTCGGGGCCAGTTATACATCGGGCTTACTGAAAATTAATCGCCCAGTTTGAAAGAATTCTTTACAAATCTTCTCGTCTTCCATCTCTTCCTCTTTTTCCTTTTCCTTCCTTTCCATCCTGCCCGCCTCCCCCGTACTCTTCCCTTTCTGCGTGCGAAACAAACACCCGCCGTATCGTTATCGATGTTACTTCATTTCCCAATATTTTCCTCTTATTCTCTTATCATGGTCGTTCTACTCAAAGCGTATACGAAAGCGTAGCAATTGCGAATCACATGGTTTTTGAATAGGGTGTGGTACCGTCGTATAAGCTCTGTGCGTGCAAGACCATCGAGGAGGGATGCTTTCTACACGCGTGATCTCAGCCTCCCTTTCTCAGGTGCTTGATTGATCGTTCCAATTACATGGCGCAGCGTGCACCAAATACGAGAGTAAAACTTATATCGCCCACCCTCTCGATATTCCGAAAAATGTGATCGCATAGATCACAGTTCTACGATCGACAATGCGTCAATGCCTTTCGCGAATTTCAAGTAAAATCATTCCGCGATAAAAAAAATATTACTCTCCGAATCGTGTACGTGAACATTTCTATAGTGAACTAGCGAATAGAGTCTACAAGCTTACCACACCTGATGCGTTTTCCGTGCGATCGTGAACCTGCAAAGTAGCGTTAAGGGTCGTTAATGGCTTCGGAGAAGAGTAACGCGTTCTTTCGTGAAATCATGCGAGTCCGTTCGCACCTAACGACAGAAGGTGCGAGGGGCGCATTTTGTTTCAGGTATTTTAGGCTCAATATTTGTCCTCGCCTACGTAGGTAGAAATCTCGCGTGAATACTCTCGCAAGGAAACGTAAACGTCGTTTGAAAAGGACGTAGAGAGTAGAAACGCGCTAATGAACCACGGCCATTATCATAATTTATTATCCGAATAATCCTGATGGGTTCTTAGAAAATTTTTAAACGGTGCGTCACATAATTATAAACCGAATGGGGGTAAAGTATTTAGAGAGAGACTGTTTGATGCGCTTGCAATGGTCATTGCTCCCTTTAACATCGCTAGCTGCGAAATTTTCCTCGATGGATTCTACCGCGTGTAAGGAGGAACAGTGAGAATTCGCGTGGGTGATCCGAAGACTAATGGAAGTGCTGTTCGTAGAAATGGCGTCCATTGTGAGAGCGTAAAGAGGAACCAGCCTAGTTCAATGGGTCTCGATAAAGCATATCATCGATATAGAATGTTGTCAGCTACAGGCCAAATAAAATCCTGATTTATTTTCCACGAGGCGATATCGTTCACTTATAGAAAATAATTCGCTTAGCTGTTCTCGAAACCGAACGAGGTAAAGTATATAAAGTTTAGATTATATATACATATACCTTGCGCATATAAAAAGTAGTACTTTAATCATATGCGTATCACGATTGACGTAATAAAAGAGGCAAACGAAGAGAATAATAAAAAAAAAAAAAGAAAAAAAAAAGAAAAAGATAGTAATTGTTGCAAAGGCCCGTTTAGAGAACCACTGCTCGTGGTTTACTAAACGCACGAAGGAGTGTTTTGCGGTGCTTTTTCGGTGTGGTGTTCTTCTCTGAAGGCAGAAGCGTTTATCCATCCGTTCGACTTGGAGAGGGAGTATGAGGAAGAAGAAGAGTAGGAGAAGGAACCATCAGTTTGCTGACAGAAATCCTGGAGATAGGGTGCTCGAAGAGGGCGGACGTTTAGTTTGGAGCATGCGCCTACTGGACCAATCGGAGCACCGCTCTTTAAACCGCGATGAGTTCTTTCTCGAGAAGCGAAGGCGTGTTGTTACAAGCGCGTATAGTGTATCCCGGCCAAATATCCTTTTAGACGAGAACATTCAAACTTCCAATCGAAGCATCTCGCTTCTTATTTCGACAACATTGAAATTTAACAGGAGTTAGGATAAAACTTGATCGAATGTATACTTATACACCATTAGATTCCTATCTTTGTCGCTCGCGATTATGACATTTGAACTATTACAAATTATGGCATTTGAATTGTCGATAAGTAAACGTTCAATCGTAAAGAATACTCATCTCGGATAATAAATATTCTATGGGTTTTGGTTTTCGAGAAAATTCGAGAAGGTCTGATCGACGATCTGATTTTGAAAAAGTCGACAGTACGATGCAATCTCCGACGATAAATCAACAATAGGTATTACGAATCTTTTGAGCATTCCCCTCCATTCCAGCGAAATAACCAGAAGAAATAGTGAATAGTCGGAAAGAGAGGGAGGGGGGAAGATCGAAGGCGCGAGACTTTCCTCCAACCTCCTAGGAGGATGACCTTCCCTTGGGAATGGATGGTGGGGATGTTGGGAGGTCCTTCTGGACCACGGACACGTGCCACCTGTCATACATTCGGAAGTACTCGCTTTCGGAAGACTGTAAAGAGGAGATTAGTCGGAGATTAGATCTTGATCCTTTGACGAAAGACATTTCACAATCGTAAAAAAGATAAAAAGTGAATAGAATAAATAAAGAATTGTACGGATTGAACATGATTCCATAGGAATTATTCGAATCCAATCGGTCGTGCAGTAATCGATTGTAAGTGAGCTTTTCGAAGGAACATTAACGTCGACAATGAGATGCATTCGTTAGATATCTAGAGCCGATGACTTTTGTCAAGATGGAGTATTGTCAGAGCCAGGAGAAGGCGTCGGACGGTGATATTTGCGATCTACGAAGAGCGAGATCGCATCAGAATGCCAACGATGTTTGTTCTATCGAGGAGGAGGCGAGGTACGATCGCCGAGGAAGCGAGGACACCGAACGACGTGCAAAATCACCGAGTAATCATCGAGAGACGATGGAATATGCATCCGATTCGAGCAGTGAAAGCTACAGAGAATATCGAAGGCAACGTATCACGGAGAGAAGGAACGTGTCGCCGGTCGCAACGTCGAGTGCATTTACGATCGACAATATTCTTGGAACGAGAAACGAGAAACGAGAAGAGGAAAGAGATTTTTCTAAGATTTGTTACATCGATAAGGAAGACGAACAGGATGAAAAGGATGAGAAAATCATCGAGGGACAATTTGTGAGACCGACAGCTATTCCTGCCGCCCATCCGAGTATGTTTCTTTCTTTTAGGTTCCTTTATCGTATTTATTCTCCTTCCTTATTTCCTACGAATCCTTCTAGTATTTGACATTTTTTTAGACGTGAGTGGTATGTTGTACGCGCACACGGCTATACCTTACACCGATGGGACCCTTTCGGATCCTTCGAGTTACTCGACGACCTCGTTGGCATCAGCATCCCTCTTGTACAGCAGCTGGTTCGCACAGTCGAAGCCTGGTCAACTTTTTGGTCTTCAAGGTAAACTGTTCGAACTATTTCGAACTACTTATTTATTAATTAAACTCGTCCCGAATTCTCCTATGAACTCGTATACAATCGTCGGACCTCTAGTATATTCGTGAATTATCAGCCGACCATCTCGTTTCTTCACGACAAAGAACTCTAATTACCCGCACGTAATAACTTATCGCCGTAATTCTATTTTCGCGAACAATGGTGAGAAGAGAGCGAGCGAGCGAGCGAGCAAGCAAGCGAGCGAGCGAGCGAGCAAGCGAGCGAGAGAGAGAGAGGAAGAGAGGGGTTGTGAAAGATCGGAGCGTTCTTTCACGTCTCAAACGAATATTGGATATTACGGGAGGCGCCTACGGTAAGAGCTTTTCGACACGCGAACGCCGCATCAACGAGCAACGTGTTACATCTCCCTCATTTTCAACGCGTTAACGGTTAAATGCGAAACACCTATTTATGTATCTATCTAGAAACACGAACAATCGTCACCAGTTCGATTCTCACCAACGATATCGAACTGGTGGTTATAGAAATAAGAATTAATCCCCATAGGTAATCGTCTGACGATAACACGTTGGTTCTTTTAAAATCATCGAGCATCTCCCGCTCTGACAAACATCCGCCATGCTGTTAGGTGGCCATTTATCAACGGTATTGCTCTAACCATCTTCCGCGTACGTGCTAAATGTCTCCGTCCACTCGTAAATCTTGCTCTCGCCGGTTCTCTTTCTTCGTCACTACGTACGGCTCTTTTCGGCCATTCTCACAGTCTTTCATCTTCCAAGAAATACCACAGCTGTGTGCCCTCCACCTTCTTTTCCACTTTTTACACGACGTACGAAAGGTACCCTGAACACTGGTCTTCCATCTTTTCAATCTACATGCATGTTTCGCGCCTACGAGAGCTCACGTACTTATGTACTTTACGTTAACGCGATGATCGACCGGGATTTCGCGGTGTGAATCATCCAATACAAGAATCCGCTAAAATCCTCCATAAATCAAGTTTAATGGCCATATATCATGGCATTCTCGAGAACATATTTCACCTGCATCGCGTGCGTAAGGAATCAGCTGCCAGGCAACACCTCGAAAATGGGTCTTTGCGAATTCGTTAGACTCTACGTCTTCGATGCGAGGAATCAAAGAATATCTTTGCACCGTCATTATATTACGAGGCAGGAGAAGGAGAGAGAGAGAGAGAGAGAGAGAGAGAGAGAGCGGGGGGGAGAGGATAAAACACCGACGATTTTTTTTCTGTTGCTTTATTCTCAGATACCTCCATCATTCCCAAAAGGTTCTCGTAAAAATGACTAAAAGAGCTTGTACAAACGAAACGACATCCATTTGTTGACGCGTCGCGTAAGGGCCAATAGACTAATAAGAGATCAAACAAGATGAGAGAGAAAGAGAGAGAACGACGTTGATTCTACTAGCATCAGCAATTCTTCAAAGTTTTTTTTGGGAAGCTCACGATCAAATAGAGAAAATTAGTGTCGATCGTTGGGATAGAAAATTTTGTTTCTCCTATTCCAAGGAAAACGACGACGAGTTAATGGTCGAATAGTTTTATTATTTCGATGCAACTAATTACGTTACAATGTCGCTCGCACCTTCCCGCGAACGGAAATCCTAGGTAGATCTTTGCACCAGCATGATAATCGTACTCAAACGCTCTTCGGCATAAACTGTTTGCTCATCTCTTTGCCACATTCTGGCCGATATTGACAGTAAGATGTCACGCGTTCCTCAAACAATCCCGCATGTTTTAAACACGTTTGGTAACTCTAGACGAACTAACGCGTATAGGGCGGAGTCGGTGAAAGTGGTAATTGAGTACAAGCTCGAGGGGCCTTTGCCAAGCAATTAAGAAACGCGATTACAATGTTAAATTTTTATTATCACGACGATAAATCTTACCGAAGACCAAACTGTCATACTCTTATATACGTTCTTCCATTTTATCTTTTACTACTTCTCGTACAGACTTTCTTCGACCGTTTACTTAAAATGCCATATATTCTTTCAGCACCAAAACCGAATGGCAGGCGTTCGAGAAAACCAGGAATCGATAGAAAACCGCGACAAGCATATAGCGCTAAACAATTGGAAAGACTCGAAGCGGAGTTCAAGGTAGCATTCCTAATGACCTAATGTTTGAAAAATTTTCCGAGCGAGGAAAAGAGCATAAAAAAAAAGAAAAAAAAAAAAACAACGCGTCTCCTTTATATTCGCAGATCGACAAGTATCTCAGTGTGAGCAAACGAATGGAACTTTCGAAATCTCTGAATTTGACGGAGGTTCAAATCAAAACGTGGTTCCAAAATCGACGTACCAAGTGGAAGAAGCAACTGACGTCCCGACTGAAGATAGCACAGAGACAAGGACTCTTACCGCCAACTTATTTTCCACCAAACCATTACCCTTTGTTACCCTACTATGCCGCACCCTTGATGTTCGGGAATCCTTCGTTAGATGAAGCTAGCAGCAACGTCACGACAACGATACAGCCGCGTCCTGTCCTACCATCATCCGATACAGTCTGAGAACTAATCGACTCTATCGAAAATCTTTCAATGTTTTCTTCCTTTTTATTTTCATTGTTAATGTCTAATTTCTTCTATTTCAAATCGTTCCTCTTTAAAGCCATCGTCTCATCGCAAATCCTCTATCTTTGTGATCAAGATCTAATAGTTAAGATATTAAATAATTAGATAACTCGAAACACTCGAGACAGCGTTTCGACTTGTACATAAATCTTTATGATAATAAACATATATATATGTATATATACGTTTATGATGGAAATTTATGGAAATTTTGTCTTACGAATTATTGTAATATAATATTTTATACACGTTTAAGAGTTCATTTAAATCTACCGAAGACGTTGAATCGTCTCGAACATAGTTCGAAGGTAATTCGGTATTTGCCGTTCTAAGGGCAAAAGCTCAAAGGATTATTGCTTTCCTCGAGCGATTTCAGCGACGTCCAATATCTCATACTCGATTCTACCCATGGAATTGAAACTAATTGAAACACAGAGGCATTGTTTATTTGATATTAAGCTTTATTAACCAGCATTATATTTTTCAGGTGACCCAAGGACCAAAGTGGATTGAAACTTTTCGAAAGGATTTAACGACAGAAGAATCTAATACGGTCTGTGGTATTAAAAATTGAGATAGTTTGTAATGATAGAAATAAATGATAGATTGTAGACGAGAATTATAAAAGATTCATCTTTTTTTTTTCAGATTTCAAAGAAGATACGACGACCGTAAGTGATTGCGTGGGGAAAGAAATCTTGTCAATGAAGAAATCACATGAATGGAAGAAGAAATAAATCGAGCGTATAATCTTTATTGAAAATATTGATTTTCAAATACGCCGAAGTTTGGTGAAAGAGAAGAAAAAAAAAAAAAAAAGAAAAGAAGAAAGAAAGCGAAATAGCATCGAAATAGCAAAATAATTATGTCGCTTTGTCCTTGCAACAAGGCTCGTGTATCTTTTTCTCTTTTGGTTTCTCAGATTTCGATGGATTTTCGGTAACACAACCGACCGTACGTCGTTTGGGTATAACCTTATGGTTAGGACACGTGTTCTTTTTAACTTTTGGAAAAAGTTTAAATTTCTTACGTTTTTTCTTTGCTTTCGGCATGTTCCCATAGGACGTACACGTGTCTTTTACTTTAATTCGTAAGGACGATTTGACGGTCCTCACGTGTACTGGCAATTTAATCGGACTGCAACTAGTCTCGATCCCTTTCATGCCATACGCATCCACGCTCTTATCGGAACATATTGGTCTAGGACCGATAGCTGCCGCGATCGCTAAAGAATTTTCAGCACATAAAAAGCAGCAACTTTTACTGATATCCCCTGTTAATCTATCACGATCTAGTTTAAATTTAGATCTTTGATCGTCGGTATATCGATTGTCCTTAGCATAGGAGACTGACTTTTCCAGATGACCAGAGTTTTTCCGTTTAAGCGCCTTTTCTCTCTTTCTTTCTGCTCTTGACTTTTTTCTTTCTTCGACAGATATCTTTGAATCCGACTGGTCAAAGGTTTGATGTTCCTTATCTCTCATCTTGGGTTGTCTCGCAGCTCTGTTAAGTCGCACACCCGAACCTTCCTCCTCCTCCTGCTCCTCCTCCTCATCCTCCTTCTTCTTCTTCTTCCTTTTACAAAATCTGCAGTAACGTTTTCTTTTTGACTTTTTACGTTTCGATTTTTTATTTAGCTTCCTCTTGTCCTTTTCACCATTCTTCTTTCTCCGTCCGCATAATTTGCCGCACCATAATGAAAGCTTGTTAGGTTTCTTCTTCTGCTTTCCCGAATATTTTTCCTCTTCCGTGTTTACGCTTCCATCCTTTCTTTTCGGCTGTCTTGGATTTTTGGATCCGTCCAAATTAAAAGATTCTGTTAGAAAATAGCGCCAAAGGGATTAAATTAATCTTTGGATTCGTAAAAACTGTTTTACCTGTTTTATTCATATCAGAGATCCATTTTCTGGAATTGATACATTTTAATTTTAACGTTGAGCTATAACCGGTAAAATGTTTCGATCGATTTTAATACTTGTTTTTATTTAAACTTCCTCATCGTGTCACGATAATAAACGTCATCGTAATTGTTTTCTTTTGTCGTTAATACGTTCAAAGATGGAAGTGTCTAAAATCATTCTCTATCACTAATCACACAATATACAGGAATTCGAAGATTAAGTGAATATTTTTATCGTACGTTTTAATTTTATAGCTCTCAATCGAAATATCTTCGCATTTCCAAAGTATATCATTTATGTAACCCAATATGGAGGTAGTAATTTAATAATTTCCACCAATAAAATTATGGCTTTTGGTAATTCGGTAAGAGTCGAGAAATTTGAGCGAATTTAAGTAACCAGAATTTCCAAATTGCCGAATTGTTTTAAGTTATCGAATAACTTTGAACGAGAATCGATTTACACGATCGATTAAAAACAAGGCGTACCACGTTTACGAGAAAATTTTATAAAAGTACAACAAAAGTTTCACTCTTGCAAATACATATACGTGCATATACACGTATACGTACATATATATACATATATATATATATATATATACAAGAGAAATTCTAACGCGCAAGAATTAATAATGCGTACGTGAAACGCGAATTCGTTTTACGCGCGTTGCGGGCAGATTAGTTCCAATCAGGGCCGCCAGAGGCGCTGAAAGACCGCTACAGTGGCTCCGGCTAGTCTCGTGAGTTAGTAACAAAGGCAAGATGGCCGCGACCTAGTGGGAGCCAGTTGTAGTTGAACGCGTCGTGCAGGAGGGTGAGAGGAAAGGATAAAATAATGTCGGTAGGGAAGTCGAGGTTCGAGCAGTGGTAGGACTGTTAGCAGTGCGTCGACAGTGGCGACTGGCCTGAGAAGAAAAAGATAAAGAAAGAAGAGAGAAAGAGAAAGAGAGAGAGAGAGAGAGACGAGCGTGCGTGTGACGAATTTTGCTGGTGCGATGCGTTTGCCAAATTTCAAGTTGTCGTCTCGAACGTGTGCGTGAGTGAGGGTCTTGCGCGCGCGAGACAGAGAGAGAGAGAGAGAGAGAGAGAAAAAGAGTGAGTGAGAGAGGTTCATGGTGTTGTGGTAAGAGGAGAGGAGAAGCGAGCCGTGCGTCGCGAGGCTACTTAAGAAAGAAAGAGAAAAATAATCAGAAGGGCGGAACGTTGTCGAGCTGTCGTCCAGCACGCGCGTTCTTTGTGCGTCGTGTCGTGCCGTCGTCGTCGTCGTCGTCGTCGTCGTCTTCGTTGTTCTCTCTCCTCTTCTCTCTCGCATCGCGTCTATCACGAGGAAGCTATAACACGATGGCGTAGTTTTCACCCGCTAAGAGAAGACCGTGACTTTGAAGGAAAAAAAAAAAAAGAAAAAAGGAAAAACGAAGGAACGATTAAAGAGGGAAGAGCAACGGGTATATTTCTAGCGAAGTTTATCGAGCAAGGACGACGGTGACCGACAGGGAGAAAGAGAGAGAGAGAGAGAGAGAGGTATCTACACAGTATACGTGTACGTAAGTAATAAAAAGAAAATAGAGAAAGAGGAAGGAAAGACGGTGTCGAGGAATCGAATAAACGAGACTGGTTAAAAAAAGGCGCGTTTTCGTAGTGTCGTCGCGTGTTCTCTTCGGGTGTGTTTTGTGTCTCTCCGTTGTGTGTGTGTGTATATATATATAATACTAGTGTGCGTGTGTATCGTTAGCTCGCGTCTCCGCGCGTCATGTCGATCCTCCTCGTACTCGTAAACGTACGTCCTCCTCACTTCGGTCACCGACTTCCCGTGAAACAAACGTACATAAGCGAGCTCTCGTTGAATTAATAATAATCATTTTCTTCCTAACCTCGCTCCATCGTCATCGTGCGGCATCATCGTCATCGTCAACGTTTACGATCGTATCTCTCTCTCTCTCTTTTTTCCTCTTTTATCGTCGTCTCCAAGAGCACATACTAAAGAAGGAAGAAAAATCAATCAGCTGTAATTTTCCCCCCTCCCCCCATTCCCCGTCCCTTTGATGAACGATTCTCCTCGATAAAGAACTTTTATAGATAGAATAAAGAAAGTGAGAGATAGTAGAAAGGAATTATGGTTACGATGATCAGTGATACGTGCGGATACGTCCTCTTCCTGCTGTTGCTGTTGCTGGTTCCATACATCGAAAGCGGTAAGTCCGTGTTACTCTTTGCATATATATATATATATGTACACATACATATGCCATATATAAACACATATGCATAGGTACGTATGTACCATGCGTAATTCTTGTACGCGTGTATTGGTGCATTTGACCCTCGAGACGTCGGCCGTTCGGTATAATGTGTGCGTTTGTGTGTGTGCGAGCTTCGACACGTACCAGAGGAAACGAGAGACCTGCGTGATGATGATGCGTCGTCCGTATATGTATGTAGCAGCTGATAGTGTAGAACTCTTTCTCCCTCTCTCTCTCTCTCTCTCTCTCTCTCTCTCTCTCTCTCTCTCTCTCTCTCTCTCTCTCTCTCGTTCCTCTTTTTTATATACATGCACCATGAATCATCCTTCCACGAAGAGAGCTCATCGCGTGTGTTCTTCTTCCTCGACCAACTCACACGCACAAACACAATATTACATACGCGAGTTTCGTTACTCGCGTTAAAAGATGCATCCGTGGGAAATCTCCTTTGATCTTCTTTTACTTCTTTTTTTTTTTTCTTTTTCTTTTTTCTGTCTTCTTCTCATTTTCCTTCTACTTCTTCCCTCCTTACGATCTGTTAAACCTTTCTAGGATACTTAAGAAATTTCTTTTCTTTTTTCTTTTTTTTTTTTTTTTTAATTTCTTTTCATTGTCACTTAACATCGTAAAATGTTTTTTTACAGCTGTACGAACTGTATTAACGGCGATAAGCCATTTCGATCGATATCATTCTTATCGAATACTTTAAGTATTATCTTAAAAATGCTTTTAACGAGGAGCATTTTACCATTGAAAATGTGATAGCATCGAATTTAGCGATAAGCCATAGCGAAGAATACCTTTTATACCGAAGAGTTAACCGAATGTCAGCGAGAGCCTTCCTGGAACTTTGAATCGTAGGATTAGCATCAGCGGAAGTCCCAATCAGTGGCCCTTGACGTGACTGGGTGATAGGTACACACAGTTGAAGCTACGTCATCGCACAGTTTAAACGTGTGCATACATGTACGAGGGAAGGAACACTAGGAGGTCGCTCGACTGCTAGAAAGGAAAGAGGGGAACTCTCGAGATCCTAGCTTCATCCAAGGCAAACAATCTGCTCGGACGTGATTGTCTCTATTCGCGTCGATTCGTCTCGATCCTCTCGATCTCTTTATTTTACTCGAGAACTACTTCTGGAATGGAAGTACTTCTTTTTTTCCTTTTTTTTTTTTTTTTTTTTTTTTTTTTTTTTACCCCCTACCTATTAAAGAAAAATGATTCTGCGATCATAAAAATCAAACGCGATAACTTTGCGTTATGCGAAATATTAGTTTTCTTTTTCCATATTTTTTTTCTCTCTCTTCAAATTGCACCGTCAGAGAGAAACGTTTCCTTCCTCTTAACGCTAGGAGCTTCTATAATTCGAATTTGCTAGCGTTATTGGCTCTCATGCATTGTCTTAGCTATCCTTTTCTTTCTCCATAGGAAGGTAGACGACGAGATCCCAGTGTGCTTTTAGCGAAAAGAGCCGACGGAAGCTCTTTGGTTAATGAAAATCTCGTAGGAAGAGCGAAAGGAACAACGCTGTCTTGTCGCGTTCACTGCTCTCTCTCTCTCTCTCACTCTTCTAAGACAAAGAGGAAAATCGTCGATTCCTAGAGGAAGTCACATCGGAAAGATGAGAATCGTCTTGGAATATAAAGATAGAATTAAGAAAAGAGATAGCGATAGCGACGTTTTACTTCTTCGCAGTTCGCATTTCTCTTTCTCTATCTCTATCACTATCTCTTTCTCTCTCTTATTTCGCGTAGAAAAGACAAAACGATAAGTTTAAATTGAAGTACATAGTCTGATATTAGTGTGCCCTAAAATTAGGATCCACCGAGTGCAGTCCATCGTCTATCATTACCGATGGAACCCTTGCGTGCCACCGTCTGGCGCTAACAGAGAAGAATTACTTCAAATTTTAGTCTCTCAGTTCTTTCAACTTATTTTTCAACTTTTACGTAGCAGAGCAACGGCACAAAATCCTGTACGATTCTCTTTTAATTCGTTTATTTATTATACGATTATACATATGTCTCGCCTATTAGCCCTCGATAATATATACGCTCGAGTTCAATAACAATGAGAAGGTCAAAATCGATGTGTGCATCAATAATTATGTAAATATATATTTCTCTTTTAGAGTCTCTTATAGCGATGGAGAATATTCTCTCACGCTCATGTCGTCAATGTCTTTTTAGATTTCAGATTTTTTTTTTTCTTTTTTTCTTTCTTACTTCTTTTTTTACCGTCTACGTTTTCCTTTTCTTTTTTTTTTTTTTCTTTTTTCATTTTATTCTTTTCTTCTCGCACGCTTCTTCGTCGTACCTTCTTCTTCGAAAGAAAAACCGTCCGAGACATACGTCGAGACGTTCGTGTCGGGACTCGGCTTGAAGAAATTTATAGTCCGTTTTTATTCGGACGAATGGAAATAAGCTACAGCGTTTCTTCCTCTCGTCATTCTTTCTTTTGCCCATTTTGCAAAACTTTGTCGCGATAAAGAACGGATGGAAAAAAAATGGTCTAAAGGAAAGGAAAAGTAATTTAAACTTCGATATGTATATGATTAAATAAATGCATATATATATATTGATTCAAGTTAGCAGAGTTTGATTTATCACGATAATAAAATATGATGATCTTAAAAAGTTGTACGGATTCGTAATCGTTTAAAGATAGTTTTCATTGTATCTTTCCTTCTATCATGTGTCGGCGACATTGTCCTCATTTTCGATAGGAACTACTTCTCGCAACGATGTTTAGGGAGACAAAGTTTCACTGGAATTTCGTACTCTTAGAGTAGGGTAGCTCTCTCTCTCTCTCTCTCTCTCTTTCTCTTTCTCTCTAGATAGTGAGAAAAGACAAAGAGAGAGAGAGAGAGAGAGAGAGAGAGAGAGAAAAGGGGACGTAGAAAGGGCCCTCGTATCCTCGAGAATTCGGCATTCCCAAAGATCAAGGGGTGGATCTTATAGCTCGTGGTATTCCGTATTCAGGGATATAGGTGTGCTTCGCCGCAAAACTTCCTACTCGGCATTCCTGGCACAGCCGCCGTTATTCGCCTTGGCTAGAGAGAAACTCCAACTCCGAGGCTTTAACCGAGGATATGCAAACGGCCGCGATAGTTCAACCTCGCTGCGAGTCCTTTTCCAGATTTTGACTCGCCACCGCAAATCTCCTTGCGCTTGACAACTTTAATAGCGTGCGCTTCGCAAGAAAAAAAAAAAAATAAAGAAATAAAAAACTGTAAAAGAAGAAAAAGGAGGAAAAGAAGAGGAGGAAGAGAAGAGGAGGAAGAGAAAGAAGAAAAACGCTTTGGACTCTCTTTACCTACTATTACCAAGTAATAGGATAAATAATTAACTATAATAGGGTAAGGGGAGTGAAAAATTTTCGCGAGAGGAAGAATGAGGCGCAGGAAAGAATTTGCTGAATTTTCGTTCACGAGAGATTTATAATTAAGATAGACGTTGGATCGTACGTCAAAGGTTGATTAACGCAAAGCACATCGCGGTTCGCACGTTTGGATCGAATTGAGCCGTAGCCTTAGCTGTAGCCGTATCCGCGGATGAAAAGAGCGGCAGCCGCTTGGCCCACTTCCAGAAGCTTTCCAATCGGCCTTTCCTCCGTCGGGATCATCTCTCCGAGATCCTTTTCTCGAAGCCCGATCGTCCATCGATGGGATAACGAGACCTCTCGGTCGATATCTCCTTATCATACACCTTACTATTTGTCTTTGTCTTTTATTTTTTTTTTCTCTATTTTTCTTTCTTTCTTATTTTTCCTTTTTATTTTTTTTTTTCTTTTTTTCTTTTTTTTTTTTTTTTTTTGCACGTCTCTCTATCTACGTTAGCGACAAAGACACGAAGACTTCAAAGAAACATGGCTCGTAATCCGCGCACGATCGATAAATATTTATATTCTCGCGGAAGAGCAACGTAAAACGATAAGGCGTGGAACGATAAACAATGTTTTTTCTTAGGCGGGTCGTTCGGTTACGTGAGAGAGTCTTGTGCTCGCTGTTGAATCGCGAGGTAATAAATTCCGTAACGATCTTACATCGATGGTAATTAGCTTACTTGGAATTTTCAATTAGTGGGATAAGACCATTCTTGCGGATACTAGCCGACGATCCTCTCCTTTATAAAAAGGTGTAAGACGCTTGTAATTGTCCTCGTTATATTTTTCCTTTTTTTTTTTTACAAATTATTGTCTACATACTTTGATTAATCTATTTCTTGGAAGCTGAAATTAAGTTTAAAGGTCGTCGTTGGTTAATATCGATCGATCGTCCTATGTGCCAAATAGACCGAGAATAATAATTGAAAAGTTTCACACGAGGCTTTGCGTATCGAAGACGATGTAAATCCCGTTTGTCTCGCGATCGAGATCCACCGGATCTTTTATCTTTTTCTATCTTCTTTCTCGGGTCTTTGCTCTCGATCCTTGTAAGAAAAAAGGGGGAAAAGAGAGACTTACCGAGATCTCCTTTTGGTCCTTTCCTTCCCTTCTGCCCTCGGGCTTTTCTCCAACGATCAGACCCAAGGGAGATGTTACGAACATTTTATAGGCATCTCAACGGCATCTAAGAAGGGAAAAGAATGAAAGAAAGAAAAAAAAAAATCGTTGAAGGATAATTTATACGATGAACCTTTCTCGATGAAGAATTGCCAATACGAATAGATACATAATTAGGGACATTTAAAAAATTCAACAGCAAAGTATAGAAAAGACTTCGTTATATTTTATTCGTTATAATAATCTTCGCGAACGTAGAAACGTTTAAAATAGTTTTTAAGCTCGCCTGGGAACAAAGTCTAAATCGAGGATTCGATACACCGCCATTTTCATCGAGTTCAATGAATTCTCTCTCTCTCTCTCTCGCTCGCGTGCTCTCTCTGTCTTTGTATCTCGTCGAAACGTTCCTATATTTTCAAAGCTCGACGTAGTATGCCGATGTGCACCAT